GGATCAAGTGGACTAAGCGGATCAAGTATGGCGGGTGCCTAATGAGGTTATACAATCGCGACACAATTTTTGTGTGTTGAAAATCTCTGGATAAAATCGTCCTCAGTAGTATTTGGGACCTTATGATTTGTGGAATCTCGATCATGTTATTAAAAACTGTGTCTACATCTGAACAGTTTGTGTATCAGGTAACATAAGATACTACCAATTTGTGCTATAAGCGTACGTACGATTTCAAAGTGAAAAAAGTGTAAGCTGTGGATTCCTCAGTAGTTTTTTCTGTCATGTGTAGATGATACACCCTCTAAGGTATTCAAGTTAATGGCCCATTTTATGAAGAACATCCCTCTGATTCAACCAGATTGGACCCTCCCATCAAATTTTATGATTTAGATATGCTCTGACTATGCTCTGACAAGAATCCATTACCATCAGTCACTTTATGCGCTATGACTTTTTTCGTTTAGTTGCAAGATAAAGTAACGAAAATGAGGCGTGAAGCACAATTCAAGCATCGTATGCTCGATATGGTGATTGGAAAAAACAATCCCTTAAGGAGAAGAAAGAGTATAATTGATAGGCACGGTTTAAGATGTTTGGAAAAATCTAAAGATGATATTGGTAGCTCAAGAACAACTCATTCCAGAATCCGTGAGCTGATGCCAGATAAGGTTATGGATAAAAATTTATACGGACTGATGAAGGCTGTATCTAGACACACAAAGGACCCCAATGTACAGTTTCTGTCACCGCGTATTCTTCCTCTGCTGCCTGACAAGTATAGTGAATCAAAGTGAGTACAGCATTTTTGCTGATTGAGAAACGTGTACAATAACATCAGTGCGGTGAGAGAGGCCAATAATAATGAGAAGTCGCAGCGGCTTTCGCATGCGAATCCTTCAAGCGTGAGACGCCTCTCCCACGCCGCAGAATTGTTAGCGTATGCGGGCCTAAATATATGATCTCCATTGTGGATTTGTCCAAGGACACCCTTTGCAGTATTTTTCTTGCAGCTGTTTTGATTTAGGAAACTGTTATCTCCAAATCTATTTCCACTTTATAAAGATAAATCCAAAGATAGTATCCTACCACTGCCAGAAGTTTTGAAAGAAATTGGCTTACATTCTGGTGATCGAAAGGCTGTTATTGAGCTCTTGATGGAAGTTACAGGTATACCCTTCAAGCTCTTGAGTAACTGTCCGTAAGTTATGCTGTTTCAGGTGTAAACGATGTCGTTGAAAAGTCCTTGCGCTATGTTAACGATCTCAAGTCGTTGAAATTGGACAAAGACATAAATGAGATTACAGCTGCGATAGATGGCGTTTTCAGAAATCTTGAGAAGAGTTTAGACTCAGAACAAAAACAAGAGCTAAAAACGCGTCACTTTGCTTTCCTCAAAAAAGAACAGTTGGAGAAATTGTTTGAAAAAGGTAAGTTTGTGCAGAATTTCAACCACCAACCACCCTTTAGAATAATCAAAATGAGACAGAAGTGTTCAAACTAAGCTGGAATATTACGGCTAGCACTTTTTATGAAGCATGACCAATTGTTTGGTCCATAAAATCTAAAGACGAGAAGTGCTACTATGTAAGGTAGAGTTCTTAGTCGCGACAGGCTATAAATAACTGAAACGGACTGAGGTATTACTAGATCTGAGATAACGACTAACATTTTTGGTTGAAGAACAAAGCCCAGAGGCGGACAACTGTAGGCACTCATTTATAATACATGTTGTGCGCTAGTTTCAGTCGTCACTAAGACTTGAGCTGAAGCAGTGCTGGGAACACGTTTAACGTGCCTATAATTATGAAGAATAGTAGCTTTCAATCACAATAGACATTGAAATTCAAGCATCT